TTGCCATGCTGCACTCCATGGCATTTCTAACACTTGAGGTTCAATTTGGATAGTGTTAACATGGCGGGTCAAACTGAAAAAATCAAAGGTATCTAGCAGATGTGGGAAAGAAATCATACAAAATCATACAATAATATGCCCAGTTGAGGCCTTCCCTGGTGGCACAATGGGTTAAAGTGCTGCACTGCAAGAGAGCCACAGCCCCTTCAGTGCAAGTTCGATCCCCAGCCCCTGGGGTGACCCACATGGCGCGGCAGACCTCTCCTGACCTGCCCGCTGCTCCCCTCAGCACTGTACTTGGTCGACTGCCTGTTCTGCTCCCCACTCTGTCTCTGGTGAAACCTGCACTTCTGGCCTGTACCCCAGTTCTATATGCATAAATAAATAAATCTGTTTTTTTTTTAAAAGCTCAGTCAAAACTTGTAGGACTGCTCCTCTAAGTTCCCTTTACCATGTGAGTGTCACTATCTCCAAACCTACTTACCCTGAAGATGCAGCTCAAAGACCCCATCCAGGAAGCCCTCCAAAAACCCCAACTGTGACTTAACCTGTCTTTCTACTTCAAGTCTGGCCCTTATCACATACTACTTTGTGTCATGAACGCATTCTCTAATAGGCTTTTCAGTTTTTCTTCCTGAAGTGGATGGACAGAGTCTTTACTTCATCCTGCATTCTGCCTCTGCACATAGCACAAGGCACAATGTTTATGTAATTAAACAGAAGCCCTAAAGTGAAAAAGTGAAATCGACAGTCTCAGGAATGTGCGGAGCCTGCCGATGACCAGATGGTGTTTGCGTACCATCAGCATGACATATGCTTCTGGTGGCTACAGGCTCTGGGGAAGCGCCTCCTTCTCTGCTCTATCTTACATCACTCCTTTTCCTTTGATGCTCCACTGCCCTTTTTTTCTGGCTTCCACCACACTACTTCTGTTCCCTTCTCCAGGCCTTCATACCTGTCATTCCTTTTGCCTGGCGTGATCTCATTCCTTCAACCTCCTGATCTCTGCTGTCTGCCTCTCCTTCAAGATACAGCTCAACATTCACTTCCTCAAAGTGGCCTTCCTCGATTATCTAGTTCCAATTAGGTCCCCAATTCCAGTGACTCTCTATTGCTTAGCTTTACTTTATTCTCTGAATAGCACTTAATTATTTCTGAAATTAACAATGCATTTATTTGCACTAGACTATGAACCCCACCAGGAGACAGTCTTGTTCTACTCTGTGGACATTCAGTGCTTAGAGTAGAGTGTGAAATAGTAAGGCTGCTTTTGGTTGCAAGTAAACTAAAAGTTGCAAAATCCATTAAGTTTTTCTTTAAAAATAGATTAATTTATTGATGCATATAGAACTGGGGTACTGACCAGGAGTGCAGGGGCGGTGAGAGGTCTCAGAGTGAGGAGCAGAACAGGGCAATTGAGGAAGTACACTGCTGAGGAGAGCAGCGGGTGAGACAGGAGAGGTCTGCCACGCCATGTGGTCACCTCCCTGGCTGGGGATCAAACTTTTGTTGCAGTGGCTTCAATAGCTTCATAGCGCTGTGCTTTAACCCATTGCACCACCAGGGAGGGTACAAATTTTACTGTTATCACATGAAAATAAATCCATGTAAGCAATATGGTTGGTTCAACTGTTCAATATTGTCTAGATTCTGGACTGACTTCTCTGTGACTGTGTTGACCTTCCCTTATATTTGTAATATGGCTGTCAAGTGCCAAAGCAGCACAAGAAAACTTGCCACTCTGGGAGAAAGGGGCAGTGAGGGGGGCAGTGGTGATGAGGTCTCTTTTATCAGATCTCTCCTTATCAGGGTGGAGTGGAAAAACTTGCTCACGAACCCTCTCCCTACTTTTTCCTTTAATTTTTCCATGGATCCTCTTCGAGTAGGAGTCATGACAGCCTATTAGCAAAGAGGAGTGAGATTATCTTGATTTTTAAAAAAGTATTTATTTATTTATGCATACAAGAACAGAGGTACATGCCAGAGTTGCAGGGGGTGAGAGGACTCACCTGAGACTGAGTGGGGAGCAGAAGAAGCAGGACAACTGAAACACACTGCAGAGGGGAGCAGCGGGTGAGCAAGAAAGGTTGGCTGGGGATTGAATTTGAATTTGTGCTGCATCACTGTGGGTTGCTTCCTAGTGCTGAGACTTAATCCCTTGCACCACCAGGGAGGCCCTATCATGATTTTTTAACCATCACCTGAAGAGGGGCCTGTCCTCTCTAAGGCCCCTGGCTTTGCCTCATACCTGAGACAAATCTGGGTTCTCTTCGCAAGGAAAGAGTGCTCTGGTGCTGTGGAGCAGTGGGGCCATGCCGGCATTCATGGGACAGGGAGAACCTAAATTCATATTGATCTATGAATATTCAACAATTAATAGATTTTCCATATACACACACTGTGCAAAGCCAAGACTGATGATACTAGGTCTTTGCCTTTAGGTTTCCATGTCCTCATCCCCACCTGTGTTTTATTAGGAATAATGTGATGACTGCTGAAACAGTCTTGCTGCTAAGAGACTTGGCCTTTGTGATTCACAGAAGTTATCGCCCATGTCCTTACTTCACAGAACTAAGTTCTACATGTAGGTGTGACTGCTTTGCGCTGGGGAACTTGGGGAAAAATGCTCTATGGCAGTGGTAGGGACTTTCTTAGAAGAGGTGCATAATTTCCCCGAAATTACAAGCCATTATCAAACTCAGTGAGGTATGGACAGTACCAATATAAAATGGTTTTGTAACTGGGTGGTCACTAGGAGAAGGGAAGTTCCAGGTTCCCTGCCCACCCAGAAGGAGGGTAGAGCTGAGCAGAGAAAAAGGAGAAAGAAGAAGAGAGAAGAAGAGAAGGAAGCCAGATGGAGAAAAAGACGGAGACCCAGGGAAGCCACATGGAGCAGCAAGCATGTGATGAAGACCCCCGGGCTTGTTTCCTGACCCTGGACTGGTGAAGGCAGATGTGGGTGAGATACCTGTAGGGAGGTGACTATGGCAGTGTTTATATTGATTTTGATTTTGCTCTTTTCCTCCCAGATTTGTCTGGCCATTTCTGACCCTTTTCCATGGGTCTCGGCCAGAAGGTGCTTTAGTCTAGTTGCAGCTTTCAGGCCTTGCTTTGGGCCAATCCCTTTTGGGTTGACTTTTGCCCACGAGGGGATGGGTCACTTCAGGTGTTTGATTTAGAAGTTATATTCTTTGTGTTCCATACTGTATATTCACTGTATTAAAGTCACTTTTCATTAAAGCTTTATATGTTTTGTCTTGTTGCGGCAGATGGCAGAACCCACTTAGAGCAGGCAGGTTTTGGGGCTTCAGGGGTGTCCCTCTCCCCCTGTCCTCTAACAGAATTGAGATGCCCTATAACAGTTTGACCTATGACTATTTCACTTTACCATGTGAAAGTCACACGCATTCGGTAGAAACCGAATTTTGATTTATGATTATCTTTCCCCTGGCTAGTGACTTGCAGTGTAGTACTCTCAGGTGCTACTGGGCAGCGCAGCAAACACAGCTCCAAAGTCAGCCTGCGGTCTCCAAGGTAAACAATGGATACTCTAGTGTCTTCTCCCAGCTCTGCCTGAGCTGCATTAGATGAGAGAGAAATCGATGGTCTGCTGGTGTTCCCACCCTCCAGCAATTAAATTCAGCTCAATGCTTCTTTCTTCAGCCTAGTGTGCTTGGGCTGTGTCCTGTAATGAGAACCTTACAGCCATTCTGATTTCATTCTCTAGTATTCAGTAAATTACATGAGATAGTCAACACTTTATTATAAAATAGACTTTGTTAGACGATTCTGCCCAAGTGTAAGTGTTCCCAGCACCATTAATGTAGGCTAAGCTAAACTCTGATGTTTGGTGGTAAGGAGTATTAAAATGCATTTCCCACTTATGACATTTTCAACTTAGGATGGCTTTATCAGCAGGTAACCCCATCATTACAGAAAATTGGCCAGTGAGTCAGCTGAGCTTCTCACCTTGCACTTGGGATGGTTTTAGAGGGTCACTAGTTCAAGATTTTCATCCTTATTTCTGACTTAAATATGTTTGTTTTACATCTACTCAGAAGATGTTCTTTGATTCTTGGAAAACAATTTCTTGGAAGGCAAAGAGGATAAAGAATGTGCTAGGAATTGGAGAGGTGAGAGTAGTGCATATGTAAAAGCGTCTAGAAGACAGGTTAAGTCCTCCAGATTCCGGGCAGTGACCTTCTCCAAATCACCCCGAAGCACAGTCCCTGTGAACTGGACAACCTGCCACCAGTGACCAACCCACCACTCAGTTCTCTGCCTTAGCGGGGGGTGAGGGTAGGGGTGGGGGTTTCTGCAAGTTTCCACTTCCTGAAGCCTGCTGGCAGGTAAGGGAGGGCCCTGCAAACCTCCCCCCCTCCAAGGTTCAACTGGGCTGGGTCACAGCGGTGTGGGTGGGTGGGGAGAAGACCCCATGAGCACCTCGGGGCAGAAGGCGTCGTTGGTCGACGTCCTCGTACCCTGCTGAGTGGAACACACAATAGGCCGCCGCTCCCCGTGGACGCGTCTTCCTGGCAGCTTTGGCCCAGGGGGCTTGCGGGGTGGGGGGGACGCAAGAGTCCCCCGCCCCCCAGCGGACACTACTGCCTCTTGGGCGGGAAAAGGCCAAGGGGTAGAACACGCCCCACACTTGGAGACATTTCCTCATAACACACATACACACGCAAGATCGCACACACAGACTGAAAAAACAGCAGCAATGATCTCCCCTCCCGGATGCGGCTGCACCAGCAACATCAGCTGCGGGCGGAGCCCGGGCGGTTGCCACTTCCCCCCTCTTCCCTCGTGACCCTCGCCTCCCCTCCAGCTCTCCCTCCCCCTCGCACGCTCTTCCCCGCCAGACACACCCTCCTCCCGGGGCCGGTCTAGAGCCGAGCTCTGGCTCACAACAGGAGGGAGCGGCCGCCGCCGACGCCGCGGGGCAGGACAGTGAGCGAGCGGGGAGCGGAGGAGCGAAGGAGGGAGCGAGGGAGGAGCAGCGGGAGGGAGGGAGGAGCAGCAGGAGCGCGCCGACGCCGCGGAGCTGCGATGTGGCCGGCCCGCCGGCGTGGAAACAGTGGAAGCAGCAGCGGCCGCGGCCGCCCCGGCCCGGGGCAGTGAGTCCGCCCGCCGCCGAGACCTGCCCGCGCAGCCATGGCCGAAGTGCGCAAATTCACCAAGCGGCTCAGCAAGCCCGGCACGGCGGCGGAGCTCCGGCAGAGCGTGTCTGAGGCCGTGCGGGGCTCCGTGGTGCTGGTGAGTGGCCGGGGGACTCGGCGTCCCGGGGGACGCGCTCCGGGCGCGGGCGACCGGGTGGCTTCCCGCGCGCGGGGCCCGGGGCAAGACCGGCGCTCTGGGCGGCCGCCCGTGCGCCACGCGCGCTCTTTCTCCGCTTCAGTAAGTTTTCGCACCGGCCGCCGCTCGCGGGGTCCGAGTCCCTGGCACCCGCTGACAGCGCTGTGACTGCCGGGTGCGGCGAAGGCGTGCGCCCAGCTGGACGCCGACCGGCGTTCCGGGGCTCGCACCGCGGTGCGGAAGGCTGGGGCTCCGAACCCGCGCTGGGCTGGGGGTGTGAGCTCCAGAGCGGACCTCGCGCTTGCCGAGCCTCGGCACAAAGAGCCGCGGACCTGGGCGCGAGGAGAGCCCTGTTCTCTCCTACAGGCACCTGAGGCAGCCGAGGCGGAAGGATGCGATGAGCCTTTTGCACCTACACACTGGCGTGTGTGCGCGCGCGCACACACACACACACACACACACACACAGCGTGTACACAAAAAAGAACCCCACCCAAAAAGCCCGGGGCGCCCAAGCTTGGCGGGCGGTGAGAACACAGAGGAAGCAGAGCGACTTCCTCCTGCTAACTGGAGAGAGGTTGATGATGGGTGTTTCTGGGGTGCTGCTGCCGCGGCCGCCGGGAACGGAGGAGATTGGAAACAACGGGGTTCCCGGGCGAGTGGGCATCGGGGTCCTCTGGGACCTAGGAGCGCTTTTAAAGAGAAGATGGAGCCGTGGGGGCTTGCGGGACGATGGGGTGGGCCAGTCGTGGGGTGGAGGACCTGAGGTGAGAGCCTCACCGCTCGGGGTGGGGGTGTCTTGGAGCCGGCGGCGGGGTGGGGGAGGGGAAAGCGCCCGACCCCCTGAGAACCCTCCGGTCGTATCCTCTGCCTCATGGGGATTGTCTGTCTCCACAGGGAAACGGACGGGTGATAATGGGCACTTGCCACTTCTCGAGTGTTTTCTAGACACTCGTGGGCATTTTCCTGGACTAGCGAACAAACCCTACATAAGCAGTCAGCCTGCTTCATTAGTGATTGGTTGAATAGTTTAGCTTTTTGTTTTTGTTTGCTCGTTTTTTTTTGTCTCTGTCCCCTCTGCCATACCGTGTGTCATGTGCTGTGTTTAAATTTCACGATTTCAGAGTAGGCTCTTTTTGTTCGAACAACTTGTCATCAGAAGGGGACTTCACAGCTTTTCCTTGTAATTTTTCTGTTGATCTTGTAGAATCTCCGATAAAACCAACATTAAAGGGAGGCCAGGGGCCTGATCCCAACAGCAGAGAAAGTTGACTTTAGTGGGAGTTCTGGAGGAGGATCAAAGGTAAAATATGTACCTTTGAGATAAAGATCTGATCCCTAATAGCTACAACTGTGCAAGGTCAAGTGACTTTAAAGAAATCTCTCTATCGTGGTAGGACCCTTGAAAGTTTAATCCTGCTGTTTAGCAGAGCTAAGCTCAGACCTTTAATGTTGTTTTAATGGACTTGGTTTATTGTGTGTTTCGCTGATTTTAGAATGAGGTCCTGTTGAGGTCAGATCTGAATGTCTGATTGTCATCACAGCCAGTTAAGAGAGGAAGGCAAGCTGTGAACAGAACATTTATACCATGGTTCTCATCTTGGGTGATTGTTAACAAGTGATTCAATCTGCCCAACACAGGCAATGCTTTCTGAAATACAGGGAGGAAGAAGACCTTGTTTGAGCAGGGGTGCTGGCCTCCTACCACCTCATGTGAAGGGAGACTGTGGAGTGGATTATCTCCGGAGAAATAAATGGGACTCAGCAAACTTCCACTGGGATTTGACCAGCATTTGACCTGCTAAAAGTTAGAATTCTTGCCCAGGTTTTTTAGGTATTGTGTATTGCAGGTGTAGGTGCGTCTACCATCTTGTAGACACTACTCGCCAGGAAAACGGTTAGTGGGCAGCAACTGTCCTCGGGCTGTGGTTTCCTAGTCAGCCTCCCTTACTTGGGACTAAGGCCACACAGCATTTTACCAGGCAATGAAGAGACATAATATGTACTTACTCTACTGGTATATGATCCCTATTGAGATGTTGAAGGTAGAGGAGAACCGGGGAAATCTTAAGTCAGTCAACATTTACGAAGCCCCTGCCACAGCAAGACATAATGCTAGCTGCCCTGTAATTATAAGTGTGGGTGGATGTCTTTCTCTTCATGTGTTCAAATTAATTTCACCTTTGGTTGGGTCTGTGTGCATTGTTTGTCAAAAGGACACCTGGATGATGTTACACAAATCAGGTTTCCATTGTTCCTAGCACCTTAGAGAACGCTGTTTTAAACATTTCAGTCAATAAAAAAAAATAAGGAAACGGTCTTAACTAGAGTCAGTTCTCCTAAATGGCTATCCTTGGACCCTGCTTTTTTTGACACAAAGAGCTGTTAAACCAAAGTTGGCAACACCAGGGGTGGCTGAAGAACGAGTGGACTGTTTGCCAGCTGCCGCCACCACTTCTGCTTCTTTTCTGCTTTAAGCCCCAAAGTGTTTACTCAGGACAGCTGAGGTGGGCTCAGCACATGTCATGCAGGACGCTCACGTTTGGGTTTCCATCCTGAGACATTCTTGCGGGCAAGCTGTCCTCTGTGTATCACTCGCTAGAATTTGCAAAACCTACCAAGCTGAACAAATAAATATACAGCACTTTCTGCTTAGGTTTGCTTACTTATTCATTATTATATTTTTTACAGTTCTCTCATTGGCAACCTCATTCTTTCTGCTCACTGAAAAATTCAGAAGGCGGGCTCCAAATACATGTAGTTAGTTGTGGATTCAAGCTTGTTTCTTGCCACCATGAATCTATTAATTACATAATGAAGCACAGTGCAAGAGAGACTGTTTCATTGCTGCTATTTTCTGTAAATTCGGCATTTTTAGGAAGGTCATTTCTAACCCAGGGAAAGGGATAATTACAGAATTAACCACTGGCAGAAATTTCTCAAGAGGGACGTGGGTGGGGAGGTATATTACAACCTGAGAGTGTTATTAAGTGAAGTGTTTACATGTATACACGTCTAAAACACAGTTAACCTGTTTTTGTTATAATTCAGCATATAGTTATTTGTGCCTCGGGAAGAACAAAGGCTTTTGCTAAACCTGTTGTGTTCAGGCTGCTCTTCACTGTGTCGGCCTGGGAAACTCCTTGTCTGGGGCTTTAAAGGCTGCTTGCTCTTGCACTTAGCCTCACTCAATTCCTTGTGCTCCAAAAGAACAGAAAAGAGTTGCTACATATTACAGATTGTAGCCCCCTGAGGCAGGGTAATGCCTGCAGCTCCCCGCCTGGCACCGGCCAGATTTCAGATAACTCTTCAGAGAAAAAAGCTCGCCCATAGCAGAGAATAGCTGAAAGCGTCTGCAGCAGCTGGCTCCGCCCACCTGCCCGCACAATTACCTTTGCATGGAGTGTTTGTTGAGTAACCTTTTTGGGTAGGCCTGCAAGCCAATCAGCTCCCCTGGTCGCTCTTCCCAGGGGAGTTGATGGGAAGGCCTGCTTATAGGACAAAACAACTTCCCCTGGGGAATACAGGCTCTTAAGGGTGGGGGGGGGTTTCCAGTTCAGAGACTTAGCTGGGCCCTGAATGAACTGAAGTTAAAGGAGGTGTTGGCGCCCAAACATGAAAGGGCTTCCTGCTCCTGTGGGCGGCACCGGGTTCAGGGGCCTGGGGCGAGCCACTTGGGAGGATCTATCCATAAAGTCCAGTACAGTTTGCTGGGTCTTTGAACCACCAAATAGTACAATTTGTTTTTTAAGGCTGGTAAACATTCTCTGCATTGATTCTCTTCCTGTTCTAAGCATCAATAAGCCACTTAAAACTCAAAAACCAAAACCCAGAACTTATTGCTTAATTACTTAGTAAATGCTTGTTGATTGTAGAAGAGTTAGAGAAACAAGAAAAATAATAACCTCATTACACAGAAGAAGCTCTGTTAATATTCTAATGTTTATGTTGAAACTGTTTCTTTGTATATATATGTATATATATGAAGATGTGAGTTGAAAACAATCTCACATTTTAAATAATTTTTGCACTTAATATCTTCTGAATATTTCTTCTTGCCAGTAAATGAAAATCTACATAATCAGGTTTAATTAGTACATTCCACTATGGGTGTCTCATAGATAATCATCCTTTATTGTTCAATATTTTGACAATTTCTAATTTTGTAATGTTGGGAATGTGAGCTGTCCGGTGCAGTAGCTACAAGCTACCTGTGGTTATTTACTATGTACATTTAGGTTTTATATAATTCAAAATTAAATCAGCTCCCAAGGCACACTTGCCAGAGTTCCAGTGCTCAGTAGCACATGTGGCAAATGGCTGCCCTGTAGGACAGAGCAGATGCAGAACATTTCCACTGTTGCAGAAAGTTCTTTGAACCAGTCTGTTATAAACATTAACTGAATGAACATCTTTGAACTGGCATATTCAAACTGGCTAGATTGTCCGTTAGGATAAGTTTCTAGCAATGGAATTGTTTGTACAAACATACACATTTTTTTATTATTAAAAATGCCTCTTAAACATCCTGCTAAATTGTTTGGTGGAAAGTTGCTATCTTTCATTCACTTATCACAGTATTCATTTCCCTTTTCCCATGCCAACCCCGTTTATTAATATTTTGTTAATCTCTGCAATCTGATAGGAGATAAATGGTATATCACTGTTCTAATTTGCATTTCTTTGATTACTTTTAAAGTTGAACAATTTTTCATATGCTTAGTAGCCATTCGTGTTTCTTTTGAAGATTCTAGCAAATCTTAGACTTATTTCCTTGTTTGTAATTCTCGCAATAATAGTCTCCACCCCCAAGATTCTCTTTCGATAAGTCTGGGGTGCGGCCAGGCATCTGTATTCTGAAAAACTACCCAGGTTGCTTTTGATGTGTACAGAAACCAATCTAGACCATTGCTCCACTCAAGGCAGGGGTGTTCCCCACACGAGCCCCTGCAAACAAGTATT